TATATATATTAATCTCTCTTCCTCATTTTTGAGTTTATTTTTGTCTCATATGTATATAAGCGATATCACACGAGCAGCGAGAGCAATCACAAGAGTGCTGTTTGTCACAAATGTGATTTTACACAACAGTTCAGTAAATAAGAAGTTAATATTGTTATATTTTACAATATAACACAATTATATATACAATTATATTATTGGGTATTATTATGTACTATATCATTGTGTAATTATATTATTGTGTTATATACAATATAACACAATATTGCCTGTTTTTGCTCTGTTTTGCCAACAAAATCTCAGCATCTCAGAGCAACACAGCAGTGTTTAGTTTTTTGAATGAATCCGCGTTTTGAACGAATCGGGTGAACCAATGATTCAAAAGCCCATTCATAAAGTGAGCCGTTTACTGAATTCCTGAATGAATCAGCTGTTTGAACGAATCCAATGAATGAATGACTGACTCATAAGGACATTTACCGCCACCTGCTGGCAGTTTTAGTTTCTTATTTAGAGTATTTCATCTTAAAAAAAGGGGGAAAAACACTTTAAAGGGATAGTTTTTTTATATCTCAAATAGGGGCACTTGAGAAAACGAAAAAAAATCAAAACTTGATAATGCTTGCTACATCCTGACTAAAGCTCATGACTTTTTAGTATTATGTGTTATTGAATGCACGCACAGTATTATTGAAGGTATTTCCAGCACTTCATTCCATTTATTTGAACACCTCATTCAGGATCCAAGGATAACAAAAGACCTCCACACTGCAGTTGGATGGCTGCGGAAAAACCTCTGTGTCTTCAGAGGTTTGGTGAAAGAGCTGAGGTTCCTCCAACTGAAAGAGTAAGACCAGAAGAAAGCTCTTCTTCAGCTTTCACAGGCCGAAATGGCTGACAACCAGCAACTGGCCAAATAACTTTTTGTTTTCCAATTCCAATTTAAGGATAATATGGACATTTTTCTTGATGAGTGCATTGACAAAAGGGGCCTCAAAATAAATTGCATGTTTCTCGAGTTTTGATTTATTTTAGTTTTCTTTTGTCAATTTTGATAATTATTGTTAAATGTGTGCCTGCTTTGCTTTAACATTTGTTTGTTTTATTTTCTTTAATCTTTTGCTACTTATGTATGACAATGTGTATAATGGAAAAATAATTGTAAAAAAAAAAATGTAATCAGATGTTCAAATCCTCAAGCTTCGTTTTGTCTATCTACCTCATCTACCTATCATCTGATTAAATCGTTATAATAAAATGCTGACTTTACATCAACATAGATTAAAGGGGTCATATGATGTTGCTAAAAAGAACAGTATTTTGTGTATTTGGTGTAATGAAATGTGTTTATGCGGTTTAAGGTTAAAAAAACACATTATTTTCCACATACTGTACATTATTGTTTCTCCTCTATGCCCCGTCAATTTTTACAAAGCTCATCGGTCTGAAAAAGCGAGGCGAGCTGTGATTGGCCAGCTATCCAGTGCATTGTGATTGGCCGAATACCTCAAGCATGTGACGGAAATGTTACGGACAGGCTAATAACACATATTGTGGTGCAACCAAGCAATGAGCCCAGTTTAATTATGAAAGATGATTTATACTTAACTAATATGCTAAAACAATGAGTATCAAACAAGTTTTCACACTAATACAGTAAGCTACAGGTAAATCTGACACATCTCACATCAACATGCTTTTATCATCTTTTTAAGTTTAATTAACGTGCTGGCTAGATTTACTTATTGTAGTCATTATGTCAACAAGGTTTAGCTTAATTAAATCATGGCCACGAATTAAGAACATCGTAATAATCAATAAAACTAGCAATCTGGCATTCATTATTATTTCTTAGCAGTTCTCACGTCGGCTACGTAAACTTAGCATCGTTTTAAGGTTATAAAATAAAACTTAATTGAAAATCGGTAAAGTTACTCACTCCGATTGCTGTCCATGTCGTCCATAATAGTGATCCAATTCGGTAGGTGGCGCTGTTACAAAAGAATAGGGTCCTAGAACTGCGGTCCTGAAACTGCAGGAACATACTATTGCCTGAGACTGCTGCAACGTAATGGTTCTGCGGTTCTGCCGCTGGATGTATCTATCCATAGACATAATAAATACCTAACTTATATGATTTTGTTGCACTGCATTGGATGTCAGTGCAACGATGTACAGACTACAGAGATATTTCACAGATCTAAACGCTTGTGTGACATATTGTTGAAAGAAAGTGAGGTAAGATGGAAGTAGCGAAGCATTTAATATTTGACAACTATTTAGGATAGAAATGTTACGACCGATACAACCTATTCTACTTTTTTCTCAAATATGGCCGTTTTGAAATGAAAATATTATATCATTTCCGTGAGTCATGCAAATTCTAAGGAACGTAGCTACATTAAGTATACAATTAAAAGTGTATGTGCATATTTTAAAATAGTATTTGCAAATAGTCGCGATAGAAACGATACAAGGTAAACGGAGGTAAATCATCATTGTATCGCCCACGTGACTGTGATCGAAATCTAATCGGGGATTTCGCTGCTGTTTCTATGGCAACTGTGGAAGGTCAATTAGACACGTCATTTTATGACGTCACTCACCGCCACAGAACATACTAATTAGACATACTTGCAGAATCTCTTCACTTCAGTGATTTTCTGAGCAGAAACAGAGTCTGAGTGAAAGTCTACCAATACAGACCGTACACTCTCCTGTATATGCATACAGTTTATAGACTCAATCTGTACTAGTGTTTCACATGCAATCTGACAACTCTACATCTGACATTATCAGATACAGTTTGAACTGACAGTATCCAATCCAAAACACCAGACACCATCATGTCTTCAGAACTGGGAGAAGTGCTTGTGGAGGTTTATGTCAACGGCGTCTTCTACTGCACTGACAGTTACTGGGCCTCAGATGAGCAAGATGTGGAGTCGGAGATCACCCGTGCCATCTATGACCATTTCGATTGCTATAAACCGGAAGACATAGATGTGCAGCTAGAGGTTGTCATGAACGACGCAGTCTCCTGTGAGGAGAAAGATGTGCAGCTGGAGGCTGACTTCAAGGATGCTATCTCAAAGCCGGTGTTGCTGACCAATCCAGCAGGGCCTTCCACAGAAGTGGCAGGAAGCAGCAGTGAGATCGATCAGGATGGCATGAATGCTTCTCCTGAAACCTCTGAGGAGGTCATCCCAACAGGTAACTGAGAACAGAGCAGCTGAAATCCAAAATTGCAATGAGTTGCAAATAAAAATGTCGGCCCAAATGTTCAGTCACATTAGTGATATTTTAGCGACATTTCGCTGGCAAAAAAAAAGTCCATTGTGAGCACAGCTGACACAGAGCTCACTTTCAACCTAGAGGTGTAAAGATGCACAAAAATGCAAACAGTCTGGCATTACTTCTAAAAAGCACTCTTTGTGTTGCAGTTTGTCTTTGTTGTAAATGGAAAATTTAAGTGACCCATGTAAAAATGAGTGAAATCTGTGGAGGAAATTGTTTTGCTCTCACTTGATTTTGCTGAGCAACAGTCAACATGACCACACTTTATTCTGTGGTTAGATGTGTTTCTAATAACATACTGTTCTTCTTTTCCAGAATTTGCCAAAGTGAGGAAGACAATCAGTGAGTTCTTCCGGACTGGGATTTCAGCACAGCCCAAGACTGATCCGGCTGTTTCCGAGTTGCCGTGCGAAGTGGCAGGGTAAGCTAGTTAAAGACCAGTTGAAAAAATGCTACGCGTGTTTATTTATATTAGATTACATTTTATTTTGATGGTCCCCTTTAGTCTATTGACTATAAGCAACTGAAATCTGTGGAGGAAATTGTTTTGCTCTCACTTGATTTTGCTGAGCAACAGTCAACATGACCACACTTTATTCTGTGGTTAGATGTGTTTCTAATAACATACTGTTCTTCTTTTCCAGAATTTGCCAAAGTGAGGAAGACAATCAGTGAGTTCTTCCGGACTGGGATTTCAGCACAGCCCAAGACTGATCCGGCTGTTTCCGAGTTGCCGTGCGAAGTGGCAGGGATCAGCAATGAGATTGGTCAAGCTGGCATGGATGCTTCTTATGAACTCTCTGAGGAGGACATCCCAATAAGTAAGTATCAACAGAGCAGTTGAAATGCAACATTGCATTGAATTGCAAAAAATAATACTAATAATTTTTGGACTAAAGGTGCAGTCATATCAGTGAAATTTCACTGGCAAAAAAAGGTCCATTGTGAGCACAGCTCACACAAATTAGATTCCGCACACAGAGAAGTTCTACATGTGCACTGGTTAAAACTACGCTGCATTCATTAGGTATCCACACAAATTAGAAAGTCCACACAAATTAGATTCCGCACACAGAGAAGTTCTACATGTGCAGTGGTTAAAACTACGTTGCATTCATTAGGTACGCATGCGTGCTGAACCTGTTACACCCCTATTTCAAACCAAGCAGCTTTCTATTGGTCAGCATGGTGAATTGATAAGCAAAGTCTGCATAGGGAATTTTTTTCCCCCCAAGCAACAGTAAACGTGACCACACTTTAATTATTCATGTTAATCTGTGGTTAGACATGTTTCAAATATCATGTTGTTTTTCTTCTTTTACAGAATTTGCCAAAGTGAGGAAGACCATTAGTGAGTTCTTCCGGACTGGGATCTCAGCACAGCCTAAGACTGATTCGGCTGTTTATGAGTCGCTGTGTGAGGAGGAAGGAAGCAGCAGTGAGATCGGTCAGGGTGGCATGGATGCTTCTCTTGAAATCTCTAAGAAGGACATCCCAATAGGTAAATATCAACAGAGCAGTTGAAATGCAACATTGCATTGAGTTGCAAATAAAAATGTCGGACTAAAGGTGCAGAACATGTATGTGTTGAACCCTTTACACCCCTATTTCGAACCAAGCAGCTTTCTATTGGTCAGCGTGGTGAATTCAAGTGACCAACTGGAATGTGAGCGTAATTTGCATAGGACATTTTTTGGCCGTCATTTGATTTTGCTAAACAGTAAATGCATCCAAACTTTAATTATTCATGTTTAATCTGTGGTTATAGATGTTTCTAATAAAATACTGTTTTTCTTCATTTTTTTAGAATATGCCAAAGTGAGGAAGACAATTAGTGCATTCTTCCAAAAGCGTTATGGGATCTCAGCGCAGCCGGATCCGGATGAGTCACTGTGTGTCCCAGCTGCAAGCGCTCCTGAACCAACATCTGAACCTTTGTCCTCAACATCTGAGCCTATGGAACCTGAACTGGATCCAGTCAATACTGAGGAATGGTGTATCCCAGATCCGAGCAGTTTTGAATCGGGACCTTCATCCTCAGAAGGTTTGGTGGATGACATCAGCGATGCCATCTCGAAGCTGAGGAGCCCAATGCTGGTGTCTGAAGATCTGACCGAACCAGCAGGCCCTTCAGCAGAAGTGGGAGGGAGCAGCAGTGGTAACGATCAGAGTGGCACTGATGCTTCTCCTAAAACCCCTGAGGAGGACATCCCAACAGGTGAATGTCAACAGAGCATTTGAGTTGCTTTACATTACAATGGCATGCAAACAGAAATATTTTTCAAACTATTCATGTTTAATCTGTTGTTAGATGTTTCTAATAACATACGGTCTTCTTTTTCAGAATATGCCAAAGTGAGGAAGATCAAAAAAATGAGTGCGTTCTTCCAAAAGCTTTTTGGGATCTCAGCACAGCCTCAGAAGAATCCTACTCTTCCAGAGCCGCCGTGTGTCCCAGGAGCAAGCATTCCCGAGCAGGAACCTCAAGTGACAGAGCTTTCAGTGTTAGAGAACTATATTCCTCAAAACATTTCCCAGTTGAAAAACAGTTTGGAGGAATGTATACTGTCTGAGACACCTGTCACTGAGGTCTGGCCCAACATCTTCTTGGGAAATGAGTAAGTCTGCAACTCATATAAACCATGTGATAAAGCAATAATATAATGCAGGAATCAAACACAATTGTATTTCTACAATGTAAATCCTCTTTACTGAAAGGCTAATTTAGGTTGTTGTGTTCTTGTGCAGAGAGACAGCAAGGGACCGAACCAAACTCAAAGAGATGGGTATTACCCACATCTTAAATGCTGCAGCAGTGAAGAAGAAGCTGAGGGTCCTGATGGGAATGCCAACAGAGAAAGACCTGAAAGGAAAGATAAATACAGTGGCGAAATATTACAGAGGCATGAACATCAAATATTGCGGCTTGGCCACAACACACAGAGACGGTTTCAACATGGGCATGTACTTCTTACCAGCTGCCAAATTCATTCACAAGGCCCTGAGGAACCCAGAAAGTAAGATCGTTTTTATCAAGTGTTCTAAAGTGACAAATTGTTTGGGGAATGAGTTTTTTTTTGGACCGTCTTTCTGTTTTTATATTCACAGATAAGGTGTTAATTCACTGCAGTCATGGTGTCAGCCACTCCCCTACACTTTTGCTGGCATATCTGATGATCCACCATGACATGATGGTGGACGAAGCCATTGATCACGTCATAAAGATGCGACACATCAAGCCCTCCATAAGCTTCCTGACGCAGCTGATGTCCCTTAATGCCGAACATGTGGAGCAGCGAAAACAACAGCTACAGGGCAACCAGGCAGCAAAGTGCCACTAAAAACAGAGCACAGACTATTTAATAATTACTAACTCTTAAACTATTTGCACATGAATTTGAATAAAATATTACAAATATGACATTTTGTGAAGCATTGTTTTTGGTGTTCCTGTTTGATTTGGTCTTGCATTTATATAAGAAGTTCCTGGATTTTAGTTTATTCTCAGTATATGCAATCAAAATACAACATGACTACCATTACATAGGTATTTCTGTCCACTGTAAATATATTCTAAAAAAAAAAAAAAAACAATGAAGAGGAAAAAGTGAGAATATAATTTATGACTTTTGTTTTTATGGTTACTTTAATACTTGTCAGGTATGATTTAAATTTGATAAACTGGTAATTTATTTACCATTAACCCTGATTATTAATAAAATAAGATACAATAATGAATAATATTAAAATATAACGTTGATATAAACAAGTACTATAAAACAATATAAAATCATATTAATAAGTATTTCCACTAATATTACTCATACGATCACTTACTTCTTATTATTTGCCATGCACCTCCTAACTCCTACTTCCCTCATTCACTATTCCATACATTAGTCCACTAACATACAGTATCTTGCACAAAAGCTTTGAGTGTGATGAAGAGTTTGATACAAGAGGATGGAGAATTAGCATTCCTATGATATTTTGTTTTGTTTATATTTTTCTGTCTCGTGCAAAAACACTACAATGGTAACCATAATATGCCAAAACAGTGTTGTTACAGATTTTGTTTTGCTTTTGTAAAACCATGATACATGTATACAAACTCCTTCCAACAGTTTACTTTACAATAAGGTTCATTAGTTAGCAGTAATTAACTGTATTAGTCAACATGAACTAAGCATGAACAATACTTCTACAGCATTTATTGATCTTAGTTAATATTAATTTCAACATTCACTAATAGATTAAAATCAAAAGATGCATTTGTAAACATTAGCTAATGCACTGTGAACTAACATGAACAATGAATAACTGTATTTTCATTAACATTAACAAAGATTAATAAATACTGTAACAAATGTATTGTTCATTGTTAGTTCATGTTAACTAATGTCAACAAAATACAACCTTATTGTAAAGTGTTACCAATAAACCTAATGATTGAGAAGATAAATACACTTCCTCATATTTTCATACTGTAGAGACCACAGAATATGTTTGATGTCATTGGTACATCATTTTCGGCCATTTTTTCTTGTGTGTGATATTATATGAATGTAAAAGTGTGTGTGTGTGTGTGTGTGTGTAGGGGTGCGGTTTGTTTGATTCTCTTTATATATAGAAATATAAAGTGTGTGTGTGTATTATATAATGTATATTTCATCTGTGTATGTCTGTTTCCTATTCTCTATTTCATACAAAAGGCACAATTACACTTAATGGCAACCATTATCACAAAATGAAGCATAAATCATATTATTTTGTAGTATTCTATACAGTGATAAAGGCAATGACGATTCTGTTTACGGCGATTCTCATTCATTTCTATGGTATCTGCAAACAGTAACTGACTGTGGCACATCTCTGACAGAAATTCAAAGATTGCCAAGGCTGTAAAGTGATTGGTTATCAAGGCATACAAAGATCGCTGCCTTCTTCAGTGGTAGAAGCACTGACCCTGGTAATGGTATCTCCCAATTATAAGATCATCTCTGGTTACTGGCACTGGATTATTTATGTGTCATGTTAATATACGTCCACGGTTAATTTTTAAATATCAGAAAGGGAGAATATAATTTATGACTTTTGTTTTTATGGTTACTTTAATACTTGTCAGGTATGATTTAAATTTGATAAACTGGTAATTTATTTACCATTAACCCTGATTATTAATAAAATAAGATACAATAATGAATAATATTAAAATATAACGTTGATATAAACAAGTACTATAAAACAATATAAAATCATATTAATAAGTATTTCCACTAATATTACTCATACGATCACTTACTTCTTATTATTTGCCATGCACCTCCTAACTCCTACTTCCCTCATTCACTATTCCATACATTAGTCCACTAACATACAGTATCTTGCACAAAAGCTTTGAGTGTGATGAAGAGTTTGATACAAGAGGATGGAGAATTAGCATTCCTATGATATTTTGTTTTGTTTATATTTTTCTGTCTCGTGCAAAAACACTACAATGGTAACCATAATATGCCAAAACAGTGTTGTTACAGATTTTGTTTTGCTTTTGTAAAACCATGATACATGTATACAAACTCCTTCCAACAGTTTACTTTACAATAAGGTTCATTAGTTAGCAGTAATTAACTGTATTAGTTAACATGAACTAAACATGAACAATACTTCTACAGCATTTATTGATCTTAGTTAATGTTAATTTCAACATTCACTAATAGATTAAAATCAAAAGATGCATTTGTAAACATTAGCTAATGCACTGTGAACTAACATGAACAATGAATAACTGTATTTTCATTAACATTAACAAAGATTAATAAATACTGTAACAAATGTATTGTTCATTGTTAGTTCATGTTAACTAATGTCAACAAAATACAACCTTATTGTAAAGTGTTACCAATAAACCTAATGATTGAGAAGATAAATACACTTCCTCATATTTTCATACTGTAGAGACCACAGAATATGTTTGATGTCATTGGTACATCATTTTCGGCCATTTTTTCTTGTGTGTGATATTATATGAATGTAAAAGTGTGTGTGTGTGTGTGTGTGTGTAGGGGTGCGGTTTGTTTGATTCTCTTTATATATAGAAATATAAAGTGTGTGTGTGTATTATATAATGTATATTTCATCTGTGTATGTCTGTTTCCTATTCTCTATTTCATACAAAAGGCACAATTACACTTAATGGCAACCATTATCACAAAATGAAGCATAAATCATATTATTTTGTAGTATTCTATACAGTGATAAAGGCAATGACGATTCTGTTTACGGCGATTCTCATTCATTTCTATGGTATCTGCAAACAGTAACTGACTGTGGCACATCTCTGACAGAAATTCAAAGATTGCCAAGGCTGTAAAGTGATTGGTTATCAAGGCATACAAAGATCGCTGCCTTCTTCAGTGGTAGAAGCACTGACCCTGGTAATGGTATCTCCCAATTATAAGATCATCTCTGGTTACTGGCACTGGATTATTTATGTGTCATGTTAATATACGTCCACGGTTAATTTTTAAATATCAGTTATTGCACATACCGATATATAGCAGCACTCCTAAATCAACACGATAACAATATTTCATTTTTTTTTTTAAATATCACGATTATCGTCAATACCTGTAAATAGTGACACCCCAATATATATGAATTACAGTTATATATTTTTGTTCTCTCTTGGGTTTAAATCTCCCATTTATCACGATACTGAAAAGATCCTGAGCTCACTGCGTAGTCAAGGGTTTAGGCATTGCATCGCGGTAAGTTTGCAAATGATCAAATGAGCACACATTGACTAGATGATGTTCTAAATTATACATATATATATATATATATATATATATATATATATATATAGCTGTAT